ATTTGCAGGGAGAGAATGGTATTAAAGAAGGGGGAAAAGAAGGGAAAAGAGAAGGGATGATAAAGAAAAAGAGGATGATCATCCCACAGGTAGACCAGGTTGCAAGTTTAGCATATGTATGTTTCTATATATATATATAGAAACAAATGCATAGCAGAGGATTTGAGTCATATATGGTTTAGCGTTAATTAATGTGCACCCTTTAAGTTCAGGTACAAGCATTGTAGAATCAACCTCCATGATTCAACTCTTACGTGTAGATCCTCTTGATATGGTTTTTGTTTGTAATTATGAGCATCTTTATTATTCTTGAATATACGGATGGTCGTGCCGAGCGATAGAATCCTTCTCGAGTGAATGGCAAACGAGTGAGGGAATATAAATTTTTGACTTTTTGGAAGAAAGCTCCTCTAAATTGTTGGGACAAACCCGGGGCTTAATTGAGCAGGATCGCAACAATAGTAGAGCAAAAGTAGAGATAAAAAGTTAGACACACAGATTTACGTGGTTCGGCACTTGATTGCCTACGTCCACTGGTAAGGATAGAAGAATCCACTATGAGAAGAAAACTCTGGAGTTACAATCTCTCTTTACAAGGAGATACTCTCTCTCTCTCTCTGGAGTTACAATCTCTCTTTACAAGGAAATACTCTCTCCCTATTTTTTCTCTCTTACTCTTCTATAAAAGAAGTTGTTTCAGGGATGAGTTTTTCCTTAAAGATTTGAAGCCTATTTATAGGGTTTGGAAAAACACTATACACAATAAAATATTAATAGTTTACTATGTTGTGGGGCCCGTCATTTTTTGTTTTCTTTTCCTCTTCAGACTTTGTTGCTGCCTACACGCCCCTTTCTTCCTCTTTTTAACATTTGTGGCTGTGGCCACTTTCGGTGTTGTGGCTGCATTAGGTGCCTGACAATCTCCCACTTAAAAATTTAATGGAGTATCAATCATATCTTCACACCATCCTTTCTATCTTGTCATATTCATGTTGCTTACGTCTCCAACAGACCACAGGAGGATCGACACCAAATAAATTTATCAGTATTAACTGCTTTTGTCAAAAAATCTGCTAGGTTGTCTTTGGTGTGAATTTTCTGCATATCCACTGTTCCTTCTTCCACTTTCTCACGAACGAAGTGGTACTGAACTCGAATGTGTTTGGTCTTTGAATAAAAAGCTAGATTTTCTGCCAAATGCAAAGCACTCTGACTGTCACAAAATAAAGATATCTTCTTTTGTTTATAGCCAAGTTCCTCCAGCACCATCTTCAACCACATCGCTTCTTTACTGGCTTGTGTAGCTGCTACATACTCTGCTTCTGTTGTTGAAGTAGTCACAACTGACTGCAGTTTTGAAACCCAGCTTACAGCTCTGCCAGCAAGTGCAAACACATAACCTGTGGTGGATTTGCTATTATCACGATCATCTGCATAATCATAATCAACATATCCACTAACAATAAAATCAGATCCCCCATAACATAATACAACATTTGAGGTTCCTTGAATGTATCTTAGAACCCTCTTTACAACATTCCAATGCTCTTTACCAGGATTCGCCATGTATCGACTAATCACTCTCACTGCTTGTGCAATGTCTGGTCTTGTGCAAATCATCGCGAACATTAAGCTTCCCACTACTGATGCATACGGTACTCGAGACATCTTCATCCTCTCTTATTCACTGCTAGGACTCATACTGGAGGATAACTTAAAATTAACAGGAAGTCAAATCTTGCATGTTAAAGCGTCGCAAGATTTTCTTTAAATAGTTCTTCTGAGAAAGCCAAATCTTCCTATTAACTCTGTCTCAGTAAATTTGCATCCCTAGAATCTTGTTTGCAGATCCTAAATTTTTCATTTCAAATTCCCTAGCCAACTGAGCCTTGAATTCTTGGATACGATCTTTGTTGGGGCCTGCAACCAACATGTTTTCAACATACAATAATAAGATAACAAAGTTATTTTCACCAAACATCTTGAAATATGCACAAGGGTCTAAATTAAGTCTGTTGTATCCAAGGCTCATGATGAATGAATCAAATCTTTTGTACCAACACCTCGGCGCCTGCTTTAGACCGTACAAAGATTTGTTCAATCTACAAACCAAGTCCTATGTTCCTTTTTCTTCAAAACCTTCTGGTTGGAGCATGTAAATTCATTCTTCAAAATCTCCATGAAGAAATGTTATTTTCACATCTAGCTGCTCTAGATGTAAGTCAAATATAGTGCTCATAGCCAGGACAATTCGGACTGTTGTAAGTCGAACTACAGGAGAAAATATTTTATTAAAGTCAATACCTTCTTTCTGAGCATATCATTTTGCCACCAATCTAGCACGATATCCCTCCACCTGATCATCATCATTTCGCTTGATCTTGTAGACCCATTTGTTTCTAATGGTCTTTCTTCCTTGTGGAAGTGACACAAGTTCCCAAGTGCTTGATCTTGTAGACCCATTTGTTTCTAATGGTCTTTCTTCCTTGTGGAAGTGACACAAGTTCCCAAGTCTTGTTCTTATGGAGAGCTTCAATTTCTAATGGTCTTTCTTCCTTGTGGAAGTGACACAAGTTCCCAAGTCTTGTTCTTATGGAGAGCTTCAATTTCTTCTTACATTACTGTCATCCACAAAGATGCATTTGTGTCATTTATAGCTTCATGAAATGTTGATGGCTCTTCATCTTCTATTAGAAGACATCATGCAACGTTACTCTCCTTGATATACTCCGAGTGCCAAGTTGATACTCTTCTCTCACGAGTTGACCTTCGAATTTTTGGAGCCTCGGACTCGATCGGTTCTTGTATACCATGCTCCGGTGTTGCTTCAGAAGAATTCGGATCATCTTCTACCTGAACAGTTACAGTCTCTGAGTCCTATCTCGAACTGCTTTCTTTCTCTTCACTTTGTAGTTGGTTCTTTACAAAGATAACATCTCTGCTGATGATAACCTTATGGGCAGTGGGATCCCACAGGCGATACCCCTTTACTCCATCAGCATACTCTAAGAATATGCATTTTCTAGATTTTGAATCGAGCTTTGTAATTTCTTGGGCATTGTACATTACATACACTGGACTTCCAAATATATAGAGGTTAGAATAATCAGTTGGCTTGCCAGTCCACATCTCCATCGGCGTCTTTAATTGTATTGAAGTTAATGGAGATCGATTTACCACATAACAGGTGGTTTTTACTGCTTCCGTCCAAAAGACTTTATCTAGATTTGCAGTTACCAACATAGCTGTTTATTGGAAATTTGTAGTAAAAAGACAATGAAAGAAAAATTGACTTGTATTCTCTCAAAATCAATTACAATTTGGATTCCGATTACAAAAGAGAGGAGAATGAATTTGATTCTCCCATTTGTTTAAAACTGGGTTCTTCTTGGTAGCGATGGAGTGCCTCCTTCGATTGATTGTGTCGAACTTGCTCTCCGTTAACGATCCGACCGTCTTGATTCACTGGAACGATTGATTTGTACGATGAATTCGGTTTAGAACTCTTAACAAGTTTAATGAACTCGGAACGAGTTGAAAACTCTGAAGAGAGTTGTTGAGAACCGAATAACTGGTTTGGTGTAATTAACTTGCGTTGCAAGCTTAATTACGAACTCTTAAACGAGTTTCAGAACTCAGAGTGAGTTGAGACTCTGTAACAGAGTTGTTGGAACCGAAGATTCGGTTAAGAGCCAAGTAAATCCGCTGTTGGTGAAGGGATCCTTTAAGATTTGATTAACTGATTGCTGATCAGTTCTTTGATCTCTTAGAAAATCACCTTCTCTGTGCTGTTCCACTGCCGAGATTTATTAACCTTATACGGTTTTGATGCCAGCACACGTCCCCCCTACTCAATTGAGTAAATCGGTTATTTATAGGGGGATTAGGGGTGTAACCAACCCCTAAATCTGCTCCTAAGTGGGCGAAAATCCCTCAGAACGTAGGATAACGGTTTTGAGGCCGTTCGGCTTGTGTTTGAACAAGTCAAAACGTCCCAGTTGGCATTCTAGGTCTTAACTCTGCGTCCAAGGCTTGAGACGCAGAGTTAAATCTCTGTTAGAGATTTGAGACGCACAGGCCGCTCGTGTGTCGAGTTCTCAACTCTGCATCCTGGATTTGGGACGCAGTACTGAGTGTTTGCCGAAGAACGCACAGTTCGTGCGTTTTGTGTTTTAACTCTGCGTTGCAGAGTTGGACGTCTGTTGAAGAACGCACAGTTCGTCTGCATTTTGAATTTGGGAAACGCAGATGTGGACCTTGCGTTTTGAATTTGAGAAACGCAGAAGTGAGTTCTGCGTTTGAGAGAGGTTGTTGACTTGTAACCTCGTCCATTATAACACTGCAAAGGCCACTGATTATTGATCTTCCCTGTTATAGGATATGAGAGTCGTCAGATTGTAACTCTCACTGTTGATTGTGAAGGTCACTGAATAGAGTTTTCGTCAGCTGTCGGAAGCGTCGTTGAATTGTAACTCTTCTCGATCTGTGTGAAAAGTCTCCTATTTGCAACCTTCGTTTGTCGGCACGAAAGCTATTTGATTGTAGCTTTCATTGTTGAAACTTGACGGGAATCAACCATCCATAGTGACTTTTAGACGAATATTTGCCCACAGCTCTCTACCAAGAAACTCACCAGCTGAGTCCAACCTTTTATTTCTGAAATCATTACACTGCTCATCAACATCTCTAATAGTTACCAATATAATATTAGTCATGCTGTTGTCGCAGCCATCAAGATCAATCATCTCAGAGATGAGGTCGTGTTCGTAGCGGTTGTAGGGTTGCGGATGCAGTGATTAGAAAGTCG